CGACAGATCTTGCAGAGCCCCCCTGAGACCCTGTGGATCCCAGATCCTGTAGTGTGCAGGGTCTCGAGGGGGCTGTGCAGGATCTGTGGTGGGCTCTGCAGGGTCTCAGGGGGGCTGTGCACGATCTGTGGTGGGCTCTGCGGGGTCTATGGTGGGCTCTGCGGAGTCTCAGGGGGGCTATGCATGCTGCGGAGCCCACCACAAACCCTGCACAGCCCCCCCGAGACCCCACAGATCCTGCAAAGCCTACCCAAAACTTTCAGGTGGACTGTGCAGAATCTATGCTGGGCACTGCAGGGTCTCTTTAACAGCAGAGTTATCCTATTACCTGCCTCTGCCGCTGGCCTCCTTCACCGCCGAACCACTGGTGCTGGCCTCCTCCACGCCCGACTAGCGCATCAGGACCGGCTTCCGCCACCGCCCAACGGGAATCCAGACCCGCCCCCTGATGGCGATCCGGACCAGCTCCCTCCTGCTCCTCCTCCCGCTCCATTAGGCAGCTGAGGCTCGTCGGTGGATCCAGGGATCAGGTGACCATAAAAATAAAAAAGTTTTTTTTTTTTTTAATTTTATTTTATGTTCCCAGAGACATAATTTGTCCAGGGACGGTCTCCTCAATCCGGGGACTGTCCCCGGTAATTGGTGACGAACGGTCACCCTATTTTAAGCCCTCACAGACAGGGCCCTCCTAAGCATCTTGTCTTGAATTTTATTGTAACGGTAATGTCTTCCTTATAAAGTGATGCGCAAAGAAGAAGAAATCATCACCTGAAGACTCTTCATAATGAAAAGGTCCAGGAGTGTCAGATTCCTGGCCTCCCCGCTGAACTTAGTGGTTGCTCCCGGCAACCCTACGCCAATGCTTTGTCCTGTAGTCAGTGGAAGTAACCACAAAGTGCAGAGGGGGAGCCAGGAATCTGACAATCCCACCAATTGTATTTTTCCTCCATTACAGCATTTCTGCGCCATGGGCAGCCGGACAGAAGATCATTTTTTTTTCTTTTTTTTGGAAGGAGATACTTGTATTGGCATTTTTAGCAGCGAGCCAACAGGAAGGCCCGCCCCTGACTGAGGAATGAAGAATATTCACATTGTGATGAAAACACCTTTGATGAACACAAATCTTTATGTTTGATAAATTGAAACATTGTAAAGACCATTGTAAGCTTGAGTCAAATTAAAGCAGGGTGGCCGACTTACATAGGGGGCCTCAAGTGTGGCCCCTGATATCACCGAAGGGCCACACATAATATACAGTAAGTGTGATGTCACAGAAACCAGGAACGCTACAGAGAACAGGAATGATGCAAGAGAAGATCAGACTACGGGCATGCTGCCCGGGATGGCCTGAGGCTGCGGGAATGCTGCCCGGGATGGCCAGAGGCTGCGGGCATGCTGCCCGGGATGGCCAGAGGCTGCGGGCATGCTGCCCGGGATGGCCAGAGGCTGCGGGCATGCTGCCCGGGATGGCCCGGAGATGGCCAGAGGCTGCGGGCATGCTGCCGGAGATGGCCAGAGGCTGCGGGCATGCTGCCGGAGATGGCCAGAGGCTGCGGGCATGCTGCCGGAGATGGCCAGAGGCTGCGGGCATGCTGCCGGAGATGGCCAGAGGCTGCGGGCATGCTGCCAGAGATGGCCAGAGGCTGCGGGCATGCTGCAATAGATGGCCAAAGGCTGTGGGAATGCTGCAAGAGATGGCCAGAGGCTGCGGGAATGCTGTAGAGTTTTTGGAGACAGTCATACACATTACATGAGACTGCTAGAGATCATCACTTCTGCATTTGTGTCCTACAACAATCATGGAGTAATGACTTCCACCACATACAATATTTCTCTCAGAACGTTCTATAATAAAAAAAGTAAAAGTAAACAGCATGAAAGAACAAACAGATATGTTCAACATCTAGAACCCAGGCGAAAAAAACACTTTTTCTTCAGTGGCCTGGTGTGAAGAACCTAGATAACAAAAAAACACAGACTAATGTCTTCAGGGGCCCCCGAGGGCCACACAATAAGTACCGAAGGGCCGCATGCACCCGCTGGGAGCTGCAGTTGACACGGGTGGTTTATTCCTGGGTTCCCTGCAACGCGTCTCCAGACCCGACCAGCTTCTGGCACGTAGGACAATACCAGGTCAGCCTCTGCAGGCCGTACGGAGGGCCAATGGCCTCTTTGAGGACTTGATGGCCATCTTCACATTGCTCCTTCATGTAGATGTGGTAGTGCAGGGCCTTCCTCTTAATCTTGTCCCTCAGCCACTCAGCAGTGAAGGTCACGGCATGGTCTATCAGAGCCACCAGGGTCTCCTCAGGAAGAGCAGAGCCCAGTGACAGGGGATGGATCCGTGCCAAGTAAAGGATTTCATTCTTAATAATGTTCCCTGAAATTCAAAGGAGAAAATCATCATCATCATCACATATAACCCCAAACACACTGAAAGATATAGAAGGTAAGACCATATATAATGTCTCAGTGCTTGTAAAGGATAGGGAACTCCTAATACAGTGATGTGGACCTACCTCACCAACTCTGGGCTAGGCCAACTTGGACATCAAAGATGCCAAATGGCTCAGGACACACTTCCACATTCGTCAGGCATTGCATCACGTGACATATCAAATGTAACTAATCTCACTTACTTCAATATAGAGAGCACTGTTGGAGCCAAAAAAACCTTTAACCTTTGGAGGCAAATACAACCAAGTGGCCTGTTCATGATAGGGTTAGAGATTGTGTGCCATGCTATGGTCCTAGGGTTGCCACCTGTCCAGGATTCAACCGGACAGTTCGGGTCTTGAATGCTGTGTTCGGGTTTCATGGCAGCAGAAACCCGGACACAAGATGTCAGGCAGACAGGAGCAACCAAAATTAAGATAGGGGGCTACTGGCCCCCCACTGAAAATAGTCTCAACTGTGATATTTACATATGAATGGACGGCACTTTTTACATATGAACAAGCCACGACTCATTCTCCCACAAAAATGACCATGCGTCGCTGGAGTGTTCGGGTTTCGCTTGAAGAAAAGGTGGCAACCCTATATGGTCCCCCATCGATTGGTGGGCATGGTGGAATGTCGGGAGGTTCCCAAAGGATTTGTTTATTGTGGCACAGCTTTTAACATGTTTCAGCATCAGCTTCCTTTGCAGCTCTTGGTGTTTGGTCACATGACATCTCCACCGCAAGGGAATTTGGTACTGGGGGCCAAATACAACCAAGTGGCCCGTTCATGGTAAGTTTAGACATTGTGGACCATGCAAGGGTGCTCCATTGATTGGTGGGCATGATGAAAGGTGGGGGGTTCCCACAGGACATGGTTTACTGTGACACAGCTTTTGGTGTTTGGGGGCACATATAACCAAGTAGCCCATTCACGGTATGGTCAGAGACTGTGAACCATGCAATAGTGTCCCATTTCTTGGTGGGCATGGTAAAAGGTGGGGGGTTCCCACAAGACATTCTTTACTGTGACACAGCTTTTGGTGTTTGGGGGCAAATATAACCAAGTGGCCCATTCACGGTATGGTCAGAGATTTTGTACCATGCAATGCAAGGGTGCCCCATTTATTGGTGGGCATGGTGAAAGGTGGGGGGTTCCCAAAGGACATTGTTTACTGTGACACAGCTTTTGGTGTTAGGGGGCAAATACAACCAAGTGGCCCATCCACGGTAAGTTTAGAGATTGTGGACCATGCAATGGTGCTCCATTGATTGGTGGGCATGGTGAAAGGTGACACAGTTTAACATTTTTCAGCATCAGCTTCCTTTGCAGCTTTTGGTATTTGTTCACATGACATCTCAAGGCCACAAAGGTATTTGGAGCCAGTAGACTTCCTTCTGCCACCGACTTGATTGCAAGTTTGAACGAGGAGCTATACGAAACCCTCCATGTGTCAATGACTACAGGTCCTCCGCTTATTGATGTCTCACTCTATAGGATTTCCACTCTGGGCCACCAGCCCAACATCTCTTAACAGTGCTGGTCCTAAGGGTAAATGCTCCCTGCCCCCAAGCCTACCCCTCCCCTCCAAAGCATAGGATGGAATTATAGCTCCAGTGTCCATGTGAACTTGGCCTTACTGTGGCATGCACTCTCTGGGACACACATGTGGGCCCATGTTCCTAATTCATGGACATATTATGACATTTGGTTGCATGGGCTTCTGAGAACCACCAGAGCCCTCCAGCTGTGCAGACTTGGCCATGGTTTTACCTATTTACCAAACTTCTGTAGGTACCGTTATAACTCATTGTCTCCACATCTAGAAAAGAACCAATTAACATTATTTTACAGATTTCTTTGCCAAATTATAGACCCTTTTAAGAGCTTCCCATTTCCATGTCTTCATCCATGTGACCCACGGAGTCCTCTTCCTCTTTGAATCTTCTCCTGGTGGTTTCCAGTGCAGCAGAGATGATGCGATGACATCAGTGGTGCTCTCTGCATCCTTACAAAGGTGAGTGCAGGGTGCTGCGGTGACATTGCTTCAGGAGGAGCTGGTCCATGATGTCCTGCACTCACAATATGTCCTCATTGTATCAGGATGAATGACAAGCAGTGTCATTCAACCAGGAACACTTAACATTGGTGTTGTCTGATGTTTGAGGGGTTTAGCTTTCTGTCCTTATATATTGGTTCTGTCCAATAATTCGGCAGGTTTGGGCTGAGGACACTGGGATTCCGGTTACAGCGGAGGGGAAGCCGATTTCTGACGGAGGTACCCAGTTGGGGTACAAGGCGGTCCGTCACAGTATTGCAGACAGGCCCGCTTTTGTTTTACCCCCACTGGGGGTCTATTGAAAAAAACAAATTTCTGGAGTTGGGCGAGCAAGTGATGTGGGAACTTCAGCAAAGGAGATCATTCCTGAACACATTGTCCTTACCTACTCCAGAGAAGACTGATTGGTCCATTAAGGTGATGCAGACGGGTCTGGGATGGGAGAGGGCACAAAGGGCCTTTTCCTTGTCAAACTCTGGACACAGGATATCACACGTGGGCTCCACAAACGGACACGAGCACCATGTCATCCGGCAGTTGTAGAAGACTAAGAATCCCCCGCCATCAAAGTGGACGATTAATCTAGTGACCAGCACATAAAGATACGGACATAAGTAGCATAGAAATACAAGTTAAAGAAACAGGGTAACACATACATGTGAATCTAAGGTGGCCTAAAATTGCTGTGGTGCATATGAGTGTTTGGGTACATCTTCAATTTGGTGACATGGATACTGGGGAGTGAGCTGTGTGTACTGGGGTGCAGATCTCACCGATGACATGGATACTGGGGAGTGAGCTGTGTGTACTGGAGTGCAGCTCTCACTGGTGACATGGATACTGGGGAGTGAGCTGTGTGTACTGGAGTGCAGCTCTCACTGGTGACATGGATACTGGGGAGTGAGCTGTGCGTACTGGAGTGCAGATCTCACCGATGACATGGATACTGGCGAGTGAGCTGTGTGTACTGGGTGCAGATCTCACTGGTGACATGGATACTGGGGAGTGAGCTGTGTGTACTGGGGTGCAGATCTCACTGGTGACATGGATACTGGGGAGTGAGCTGTGTGTGTACTGGAGTGCAGATCTCACTGGTGACATGGATACTGGGGAGTGAGCTGTGTGTACTGGGGTGTAGAGCTCACTGGTGACATGGATATTGGGGAGTGAGCTGTGTGGTGAAGTGCAGATCTCACTGGTGACATGGATACTGGGGAGTGAGCTGTGTGTACTGGGGTGCAGATCTCACTGGTGACATGGATACTGGGGAGTGAGCTGTGTGGTGGAGTGCAGAGCTCACTGGTGACATGGATACTGGGGAGTGAGCTGTGTGGTGGAGTGCAGAGCTCACTGGTGACATGGATACTGGGGAGTGAGCTGTGTGGTGGAGTGCAGCTCTCACTGGTGACATGGATACTGGGGAGTGAGCTGTGTGGTGGAGTGCAGATCTCACTGGTGACATGGTTTAGGTGTGCGTTTCCCACACCCCTGTCCTGTGTATTCACAGATACAGCAGATGAAATGCTACCTGGGGGACGGGTCCTTCCAGTCTCCTCTCTTGTTTCCCTGTTTAGCTCGGGCGATCTCATTGGCTCTCACGCTTCCATACAGACCAAAGTGAAAGCGCAGCCATTTGCGCACCGGAGTCTCCTCGCTTGTTCCCGGCGCGCTCTGGTCCCCAGGAGCTGTGGAGGGTTCACCGGTCAATGAACAGCCCTCATCTGACTTCCCGTCATCCTGCGAATCCACATCATCAGCTTTCTCTTTTGTTACGCTGCATCCAAACGCAAGGTATAAATTCTTCCCGTGCACCTACAAATGGGGGTACGATGGTGGAAAGTGAACGGATACATTTGATTGTATTGCTGCAGTACTGAACCTAACCATTAGGTGGCGCAGCAAGTCAAATCTGGAATGGCATTGCACAGTCCGGGTAAAAATCAGGAAGGTGGAAGAATCCGCTACCCTTGGGGCAGATAGCTTGAAGCGAGATTCCTCTTTAAGGACTCGCTCACCCCATGTCTGTTGAGTTGCATAAATCAACATAGGCAGAACGCAAGGGCACATAGCCAAAAATTGTTTTCTATCCCTGTTCACACCATACATAACGCTACGTAAACATTCCGCATGTATGCATTTTGACTAGGGATGCACCGATACAAGTATCGGTGCCGATGCCGAGTATTTGGGTGAGTACTCGTACTCGCCCAAATGCTTTGATGCCTAGCCCGATACTTCCGGTATCAGGAAGCCGGGCAGCGAGTCATTACACGCTGCCCGGCTTCCTGATTAGCTGGAAAGCCGGCTCCATGCTCCCTTGTCACGAGGGAGGATGGAGCCGGCTTCACGGCCATAGTGGATGTTTATATAATATGGGGGGGGGGCGGAAAAAAAAAATTCTGCCCCAGGCGCCCATAACTCTGGTTAAGCCACTGGTGTTCGCTCACCTCCCGATCTACTGATCTGACCTGTGACAGTCTCATTGTCACAGGTCGGCTAGAACTATGAGGTGAGTGGAAATCACGCCCCTCATAGTTCTCCTTTCGGTACTGGCGAGTACCGAAAAACCGGTAATGAAAAAAACTAATTTTTACACAGCGAAACTCACTGTACATGACTGTAGTGCATCGCAACGAATGTTGCAATAAGCTGTGGTGAATAGAGTTATATGAAGTTACATTTTGTGATGCTTCAATAAAGTAAAAAAAAAAAAAAAAAA